TGTTCCATTTGTCTATATGTTTACCCTTATGCCAGTAACACTCTGTCTTGATTATCGTATCTTTGTAGTAAATTTTGAAATTAGGAAATGTAAGTCTTATGACTTAGTTGTTTTTAAGTTTATTTGGGTCTTTGGGTCCCTTGCATTTCTACAAGGATTAATTTTTAATTTCTGAAAAAAGCTTTTTGGGATTTTAATGGAGATTGCATTGACTCTGGTGAATTTTGGAAATTTATCTTCTGATCCATGAAGATGGAACACCTATCATGAATGCAAGTAGTTGCTTACCTTTATTTTCAGATTTTTTTATTGCTAGTATATAGGAATGTAGTCGACTTTTGTATGTTAATCTTGTATCTTGCAACCTTGCTGAACTCATTTATTATTTTTGATTCCTTTGGATTTTCTACGTACAAGATCACATCATCTGCAAAAAGAGACTTTTTGCTCCTTCCTTTCCAATCTAGAGGCCTTTAATTTGTGTGTGTATATATGTGTGTGTTTGTATGTGCGCATGCGTGTGCATGTACAATCACCCTGTCTAGAAGCTCCTGTATTATGTTGAATAGAAGTGGTGAGAGAGGGCATCATTGTCTTGTTGCTGATGTCAAAGGAAAGCGTTCGGTCTTTCTTCATTAAGTATGATGTTGGTTGTAAGTTTTCCATACATGTCCTTTATCATGTTGAGCAAGTTCCTTTGTATTCCTAGTTTATTGATGGCTTTTAATTGTAAATAGAGGTTGGATTTTGTCAATTGCTTGCATCTATTGAGATAATCATGTGGTTTTGTTTCTCCTTTTTTTTAAACCACTTTATTGAGGCAAGATTGACATACAAAAAGCTGTACATGTTTAATATATACAACTTGATGAGTTTAGAGATAAGTATACATCTATGAAATCATCACCACAATCTATGACATACATATATCCATTATCTCTAAAAGTTTCCTCCCACCCTCTTTATTTAATTTGTATTATTTTCTTATGATAAGAGCACTATGCTTTTAGCAAAAATTTTAAGTATATAATATGGTATTGTTAACTATAGGCACTATATTTTACAGTAGATCTCTAGGACCTACTTTTCTTGTTTATCTGAAACTTTGTTCTTTATTCTATACTGTATTAATGTGACCTTTTTTTTTTTTAATTCTAGGTCTTCAGTTTTGCTTGTGAGGGCTGTGAAAAGGTGACATTTAACATACCTTCCGAACTAGAGGCAGACAAAATAGTCGGCAGAGGTGAGAAATTTCAAAACAAGTGTTTTTAAAACAGAAATTTAGTTTACTTATGCTGAAAAGAGTATATTATCCAATCTTTGGATATTATCCTCTGGAATTAGCCTTAATCTATTTATACTTAGATACAATTCAAGATAGTTTAAATATATATTCTATTCTTTATAACCCTATTGAATTCTGTGGTTGATTCCAGTGCAAATATTCTAAATCCCCATTTTTGTAGTAATTTATGTTTTAACAGTTTAAAGATTACATAAAGAGTTACATGTAGGGGCACCTGGGTGGCTCAGTCGGTTAAGCATCTGACTCTTGATTTCAGCTCAGGTCATGATCTCAGGATCCTGAGATCCAGCCCCACATCGGTCTCTAAGCTGGGCATGGAGCCTGCTTGGGATTCCCTCTTTCCCTGTCCCTCTGCCCCTCTCTCCACTCACGGGTGTGTGCTCTCTCTAAATAAATAAATAAAATCTTTAAAAAAAGTTACATGTAGAATGTAACGCTTTCATTACCCTAATATTCTAAGCATTAGAGAAGTATAGATAAGTGGCTGAGAAAGTAAGAGCATTTTTTTTTTTTTTTTTTTTTTTATCAGTGCTAGAGCTCCGTTGAGGAACATCACAAGATGAGCCATTCCATCCAAACTGAACTTAATTCACATGGAGAATTTGGGGAACTTTATAAACTTTCCCAACAGCTGGGAAGCTCTGCCCAGGTGGACTTTCCATGTGATCTAGGGAATACAAGAGGAAAGCATCATGTTTTGTTTTGTTTAAAAAGATATAGCTTGTCCCAGACATATCAAATTTACTTTTTCAGCAAAGTGTCCCATTTCTGGTTAAGTGCCTCATTTAATTTTTATCAAACAAATGTCACTTTATTCCTATGGGAAGGAAGAAAAAAGAGGATGTAAAAGAGGAGGGTGTTCCTTTGGGGGATAGACGAGAGGTTATCATTATGCTAAAAATGTGAAGATGAGAGAAATATGTCATCGTTCCTAAAGATGTTCACTTCTTTTTGATTCAGTGTTTCCATCGGTGACAGATTTGAATCAAAGTGACAAAGCTTTACATGGGTAACTAATCCCTTGAGAGGTTATTACTTAAGTGTGCATTAATATATCAGCATTAATCTATCAGTTCGGTTGTTGTTAAAACAGATAGTTGAAGAATGAGATGAATTCGATACTTTTGATAGAAGTTTCAAACCACTGCTATTGATCTTTATATTTTATTACTTTTTACTCCCAGGAGGAAAACTCCCAGGGAGAGGAGAAGACGCACATGCAGAGTTTCAGTGAGGAGCCCTGGAAAGCTAGGACTAGGAACGCAGAGAGAACTGTGGGCATAAGGGGAGCTGGTGGTTGGCAGGAGGTGGATAACAGGAGTGCCAGTGAAAGATTTCAAAGAGAGCCTTTCCTTACTTGACTGTTGGCGAAATTCATACCCTCTGTTGCTCTTTGGGCTCATGTGTATAACTTCTGGCTGAGTCTTAAAAGACTCAAACTATAGTGTTGGTGGGGGGGACCTTTCTGTTTGTTTTTTCAGCTGTGTGTGGGGGCGTGTAGCTCAGCTTGGTCATGATTGCAGCACATACACCTCTTTAATAGGAAGATCATTTTCATAAGCCTCTAGAAACATATAAAGGTTTAAAAACACCTTACTTAAGAAATGTATACAATCCAGAATTATTTTTTAACTGAAAGACAGTTGTCATTTTTTTATACATGTAAAGAATCTAAGGTATTTGGTAAATGTGAAGTGATTGGTTTATTTTATTCTACTTCATGATTTTGAAGAAGATGTATACATTGTTTTAACACTTCTTTTTGTCTCTTTGCATGTGTTTCTACTTTGCAACTTGGAAACTTTTGCTTGCAGTTAATTTGAAAGAGTGCCTCAGGTCTGCAGACCTCATCCAGTCCGGTGACCCTGACTTCAGAGTTCTCGATGACGGCTCAGTATACACAACCAGCAATGTGGTGTTGTCTGATGAGAACAGATCATTCACCATATGGCTTTCTGACACCAAAACCCAGACACAGAAAAAGATTAAGGTGCTCCTGGAACATCAGAAGAAGGTATTCAAAATATATTGATATTTTCAGGCATGCTTTTTTTTAAATTTAAATACTTTCATTAACAATTGCAAAGAGGGGGTTGCCTGGGTGGCTTAGTCAGTTAAGTGTCTGCCTTCAGCTCAGGTCATGATCCCAGGGTCCTGGGATCGAGCCCTGCATAGGGTTTCCTGCTCAGCAGGGAACCTGCTTCTCTCTCTTCCACTCCCCCTGCTTGTGCTCTCTTTCTTTCTCTATCAAATAAATAAAATCTTAAAAAAATTTTAAAAAGTTAAAAAATTGCAAAGAGGCCAAAAGGATAAATCGGTTTTTATCCTCTTCTTTTCCCTCCCCTTCAGTTTGCTTTCCCTCCCTCCCTCTCTCTCTTCCCCTTCTCACCCACCAACACTGGCTAACCATTGGCTTTGGGTTTTGCTTTGTTAATCCTAAATGGCACCTCCTCCGGGAAGGCTTCTTCCACCTCTAAAGTCCAACTAATTGCTTTTGTGTGTCCGTGTCAGTTTGGTTACCCCTCTTTTGTAAGCATTTGGAATTTTTTTTTTTATTTGTGCAAACAATTTTATCTGTAGTTGCTTGAGGGCACGAATTGATTCCTTTTGTGCTTATAGCCTCGGTAATACCTAACTTGTAGTCAATAGGTTCATGTTAAATTAATGGTAAGAACAGTGGTTTCCAGGGAATAAGAGATCGATTTCAAGTGTCACAGTGATTCTGACGTTAAAATGAGATGGGAATCCTGAAGTGTGTGTAAGTATTTGGATACACGGCATGGTATTGGCTGTCATTCGCTGCAGTTCTAGATTCTACATCGTGAGGAACGCCATTGTGTAGGTCATCACAAAAATGATGAAAGGTTTAGACTGGGTTACAACAAATCGATGTTTAGTGAATTAATGAGAAAGTTAATTTAAATGACTATTTAGAACCTTAATACATGTTCAATAAAATTATTAATTAATTGTTAGGAAATAAAATAGCTTCCTTGCAACACCATGCAATGAGATGGAAATCACTCAGAAGCCCAATGGAACTTTTTGGGATGATGGAAATGTTCTATAATCTGCACTGTCTGATATGGTAGCCGAATATTAATGCTTAGTGAGCACTTGGCATGTGGCTAGTGCAACCGAAGGATGGCACTTTATATTTTATTTAATTACAATCAATTTAAATTTAAATAGTCACATATAGTTAGAGCTACCATATTAGAGAGCGCAGATTGGAGTGTGAAGGCAATGAAGAACGTGCCTTTTCTTGCTCTGGTTCTCTTGAGAATGTGAGGTTTTAGCAGAAAGGACAGGCTGTCTTTAGAGTGTTATAAAGAGGACATGTTCACTATTTCTATGTGGGAAAGAAGAAGAAAAACCAAGAGTGCAGTGATGATTTTCCTAACCTGAAAGTTTGGTCAGTGTTAGAAAAGTATACAAAATGAAATTCTTCAGTTTATGAAACTTTTAAACTGTGGATGCATTCTTTCTTCCCCATCTAACACAAAAAGACCTTATTATCTGGCCTTTAGCTTCAGCTTGGAAACTCCTGAGACTGAGCCTCCAGGGAGGCATGAGGTTGATGGACTGTCCACTCCTTCACAACAAAGTCGGTTGTGATACTTTTATTTATTTAATTTTCTTTCTCTAAATTCAGGTACTGAGGAAAAGAGATACTAAAGAAACCGTTCTCAGGCGTTCCAAGAGGAGATGGGCCCCTATTCCCTGCTCAATGCAAGAGAATTTTCTGGGCCCGTTCCCTTTATTTCTTCAACAGGTAGGTTTTACATTCTTTCTGATTGGGAGTGTTTTAATTCCAGAGTCTGTTTTGTTCAGGTTTCATAACTCTTTAGATACTTAAAAAGAAACAGATTTGATTGAAGATATTCATGAAGTATAATCAAAGTAAGTAAAATGAGAAAATCACTAAAAAACTAATAATAATATGAAAAAGACTACAACCAGTAAATGATCTTTATGAGCTTATTCATTCATTTAGCAGCTGGCTATCGAGGACCTGCTATGTCCCACAGAAGGCACTGCTCTAAGTACGACCCTAGAAATAAATTTAGCCATACCTTGGCTCTCATGTAGGTTATAAGCCTAGTAAGGAAGACAGAGGTAGACACACGGTTACAATACTGAGTGATGGGTGCGTGGCAGAGATGGTTTGGGTGATCTGAGAATTCATGGGATCAGCACTAAGTCCTGGGATGAAATGGACAAATCAAGAAAAGACTTAGATGAGGAGACATCTGAGCTAGGACCTAAAGGATGGGAAAGTGTTGTGCAGGTTAGTAATTATGGAAGAAGAGGGAGGTACAGAGGTGAAGGTGAGCTCCTTAGTAGCTCCTGGGTAGCTCAGCCCTCCTGGTTATGATGGGGCCGGAGCAGGGAGATGAGGCCAAAGAGGCAGGTAGAGGCCAAGCCATAATGGACCATGTGTGTCCTGTTAGGGAATTTAACTTTTTTCTAAAAAAAAAGGAGTTTTTAACCAGGTCAGGTTTAGTTTTCATAAAGAGCTAGATGGAACATAAACAATGAAAGCAGTTGCTGAGGTAGGGCTCTGGCCCAGTGCTTGCCTTTTCCTATTACTGTGCTTGATGTTTCATTCCAACAGTGTGATCTGTCTCCTCCCTTCCAGTGTCTTCCATACTTCAATGCTAGACCTTGTTTCTTCTTTTCAAATTTTGTATTTGAGGCACTCAGGAGGCATATTAAGAATGATTTTGATTACCAGAGTTATACTGATCATAGCTAATTTTAGCCTCTGCTTTGCTAAGCCAGTCGCCACCTCTCAGTCCTCTTTTCCTTGACCTGTGTCCATTTGACATAGCTGACCCTTCCCTCCTCCTCCGGATACTTTCTTCACTTGGCTTCTAGGACACCACTCTCCTAGTTTTCCACTTACCTCACTGGCCACTCTTTCTTAGTATGTTTGGCTGGTTCCTCCTCATTCCCGTATGCCACCCCCTCCAAACTTTGGAGAGCTCTAAGCTCAGCCTGTGAACTTTGTCTCTTGTTTATTTATATTCACTCTCTCGGTAATCTCATCCAGTCTCGTAGCTTTAACTACTACTATCTATCAGAGGCTTAAGACCTCATATTTCTAGGACAGATTGCCAAATTGGTATTTCCACTTGGAAGCTTAATGGACATTTCAAACATAACATATGCAGAAAAAAGAAGTTTGGGTTTTCTCCTAAAATCATCCTCCATCTCAATCAATGGTACCTCCATTCTTTCAGTTGTTGGGGTATTAGAGTCTATTGGGTAAGGTTTTAGTTGTAGAGAACATACTTCTCTCTAAGTAGTTAACAGATAGGGATTTATTACAGCGTATAAGCAGTTAACAGAATTGGGGGACTGAAGACACAAAATTTAGATTGAACTTTCAGGAATGAATCCCCAAGTTACACTGCAGAATCCACAACCAGGGGACATGCTGTTTTCTCCATGATGGAGAAAACATTAGGGCAGCCACTAATTCAGGAACCAAAGTGCCACTGAGTGGCATAAGCATGACAGAAATGTATTTATTTTATGTGAAATTGTGATCTGGTAAAGAGATTCTAATTTGAAAAATCACCTAGACTTCTTTCTTTTTTAGCTTGGCCATCTCTGCAGGTTCAAGATAGCTCATCATTGTGTCCAAATGGGGGAACACATCCCTTCACTTTCCAGAGCACAGTCTAGGGCATGCATATGTTATTTTTGCTCATATCCCATTAACCCGATCTCTTCATGTGACCGTACCTAATTATAAGGGAGACTGAGAAATGTATTTCTTTTGGGCAGTCTTGCACTCAGCTATAAATTCCAACACAAAGGAATATGGGCAGAATAGATGTTAGGGGATATTAGCAGCCTCTGACATAGTGTCATCTTCACAACACACATCCAACCCATCGGCAAATCCTGTTGGCGGTACCTGCAAATTATATCCAGAATCTAAGCATTTCTCACCACCCCTACTACTCTCATGAATTCTTGCAGTAATTAAATGGTCTTCCTCCTTCTTTGCTTACCTACCCACCCACGTGTAGTCTTAACAAAACACCAAGTATTGTCTTTTGAGAATATAAATTACGTATGTTACTCTTGTCTAAATTTTCCAATGGCTTCTTACCTGACTACAAGGAAAAGTCAACACTCTTGGAATCATTTACATGACATGGCGATCATCTCCTACTTCTTGCCTGCTAGCTTTCTCTGCTCCAACCACAGTGGTCTCTTTACTGCTCCTTGAACACTCTGGGCACAACCCTAACCCGGTCCCTTTGTACTTTGTGTTTCCTCTGCCAGGAAGAGTCTTCCCTATTTATGCTCATATGTCATTCTTTTAATTTTTGCCAGTTCCCCTCCCTAAGAAACATTCAAATTAACTTTCCCTTCACCTGTATATGAGAGTCCCTGATGGCCGGGCTCCTGCTAACAATGGGTATTGAAGTTCTTTTCTATCTTTGCCATATCTCTAGATGGGAAATTATGCTTTATTGTTTTTAATTACATTTTCTTTGGTTACTCTTTATGTTGAACATTATTTTCATTAAATCTGAGAGTTTAAAAAAATCTTTTGCCAAATGCTCCTTACTCTTTTGTGTGCTGATGAAGTGATAAATGTGATTATCTTATGAACGTCTCTTTAAAATAAAAAAAAATAGAAATGCATAAGCTACATCTTAAAAAAATAGCAGTTCAACAGATTTTAATTTAAAGTTTTTAAAAATACGGTTTTTCCCTTTTAGGTTCAGTCTGATGCAGCACAGAACTATACCATCTTCTACTCAATAAGTGGGCGTGGAGTTGACCAAGAACCTTTGAATTTGTTTTTCATAGAAAAAGACACAGGAAATCTGTATTGTACCCGGCCTGTGGATCGTGAAGAATATGATATTTTTGATGTAGGCGTTTTATTGATATACATGATTTTAAATGATTAAACTATGTTTCTTCTGATATTCCATGTACTCTTTCCTGTCTTCTTGCATTCTCTTCTTAGAGTCAAAGGAAATAGGTTGTGCAATATTTTGGAATATTTGATCTGCTCTCTATTTTAACTTCTGTTAGGTAAGCTTGAAGTGAAGCAAAAAGGTTTAGTTGTATTTGGATGTAAATTCCGGTGCATTTCCTGGAGTTGGTTTTGTTTATGAGATACTTTCTGTCTCTTCTCATGCTACATTTTCCTGTCTCCAGGATGTGGCCACCATTGATTGGAAGGGACTTCTTCCCTATTCTGCTCTGTTCTCTTTATTTATTTATTTAGAAAATTTTTTTTGGTTCTTCCTTTCACTTATATGATTCTCTGATCATGTCTGAGAACTAGATAAGGAAGCAAAAGTGGGAGACCAAACCCAAACAAGGTCAATAAGTCAGCCTTCTGATATGAATGAGCTTACAGTCAATGAGGAATAACTCAGACAATTTTCAGTGCAATATGGTAAATTCTGTGGGGTCATGTGGTCATCCCTGTAGTGCAGGGGGGGATGTTTCTCCGTAAGAAAGAGGGATTCTCTTCCTAGAAGAAGGAAGAGATGCTGGTAAGCAAATGTAACTGATGTTCACCACATGACATTTCTTTGCTTTTGTTTAGAAAATTTTCAACTTGGTGTTGTAATCACACGCTGAATAGAAATACTATATGTTGGCTGATTGAATTTAAATAAAAAAAAGAAATACATTCTATTTGACATTACGTTACCCTTTGATTAATTGGCAATGCAGAAACTGGTAAATATGTTTTGTTAGAAAATCTCTTACAAATATGTGATCTATGAGGTAAAACAATAAAAGGGCTTGTTAGTTGCAAGATTGAGAATCATGGCTTTATTTAGATGATGTAGTAGGATCTTTCCCATTGCAGTAAATTTAATTGTTCTCCCCAATATAACTTTCTGATTATGGGGAGAATAAGGACTCTAACCTGAGTCTAATGGACAGAGTTGTCTCTGACTTGGCTACACTAGAGTTTTTTGAATTGCAGCCATTTTTACCAAATACTGGATGCCTCTTACTGCACTTAAAGTGTTTTTCCATTTGATGCTTTGATGATGAAAAAAGAATTGAATAGAATTTTTTAAGTGGTTAATTACCAAAAAGATTTGCAGAGAAGGTAGCAGATAAAGCATAGTGTTCTCTCTTGCTAGAATCTTATATTAATGGACTATTGGTCTTGCTTTTTCCTGTTTTCCAGTTAATTGCCTATGCCTCGACTGCAGATGGGTATTCAGCAGACTTACCTCTTCCACTGCCCATCAGAGTGGAGGATGACAATGACAACCGCCCTATTTTCACAGAAGCTATTTATAATTTTGAAATTCCAGAAAGTAGCAGAGTTGGTAAGATAATTTTTTTTAATTGAACTTTTTTGTATGTGCTTTCTTTTGCCATTTGTATTTTTTCTTCTAGGAAATGTATGTTCATTTCCTTTGCTCTTAATTTCCTTGTTTATCTTGCTCTTAACTGTTTTTTTAAATCTAGCTAAAAATGCTCTTTACATATTAAGGGTACTAACGTATTGTCACATTGCAAATATTTTCCCAGTGTATTGTTGCTTTTCAATTTTATTAAAGCTACTTTTTTGAGGTAAAGAAGTTCAGGACTTTCAATTAGTTAAATCTATTCTTACTAGACTCAGAAAGGCCTTTTCCTTTCATACTTTATGGTAAGGGAACTTTTATTTTTTTATTTGTTTTTTTAATCTAAATTCAATTAATGAACATATAATGTATTATTAGTTTCAGAGGTAGAGGTCAGTGATTCATCACGTGCCTTTCTTAATGTCCATCACCTAGTTACCCCATCCCCTCACCCTTAACCCCCTCCCCTCCAGCAACCCTTAGTTTGTTTTCTGTGATAAAGGGTCTCTTATGGTTTGTCTCCCTCTCTGATTTCCTCTTGTTGTATTCTTTCCTCTCTTGCTCTGTGATCCTCTGTTTTGTTTCTTAAATTCCACATGAGTGAGATCCTATGACAATTCTTTCTTGTATTTACTTATTTCGCTTAGGATAATACCCTCTAGTTCCATCCACATCATTGCAAATGGCAAGATTTCATTTTTTTGATGGCTGAGTATTATTCCATTGTGTATCTATCTATCTATCTATCTATCTATCTATCTATCTATACATACCACATCATCTTTATCCATTCATCTGTTGATAGACATCTGGGCTCTTTCCATAGTTTGGCTATTGTGGACATTGCTGCTATAAACATTGGGGTGCAGGTGCCCCTTTGGATCCCTACATTTGTATCTTCAGGGTAAATACCCAGTAGTGCAATTGCTGGGTCGTAGAGCAGCACTATTTTCAACTTTTTGAGGAACCTCCATACTGCACCAGCTTGCATTCCGACTAACAGTATAAGAGGGTTCTCCTTTCTCTGCATCCTCACCAACATCTGTCATTTCCTGACTTGTAAATGTTAGCCATTCGAACCAGTGTGAGGTGATATTTCGTTATGGTTGTGATTTGTATTTCCCTGATGCTGAGTGCTATTGAGCATTTTTTCATGTGTCTGTTGGCCATTTGGATGTCTTCTTTGCAGAAATGTCTGTTCATGTCTTCTGCCCATTTCTTGATTGGATTATTTGTTCTTTGGGTGTTGAATTTGATAGGTTCTTTATAGATTTTGGATACTAGCCCTTTATCTGAAAAGACATTTGCAAATATCTTTTCCCATTCTGTCTGTTGCCTTTTGGTTTTGTCGACTGTTTCCTTTGCTGTGCAAAAACTTATGTTGATGAAGTCCCAATAGTTCACTTTTGCGTTTGTTTCCCTTATGTAAGGAAACTTTTAAAAGTAAAATGTATTATGTTAAATATGTTTATCTACATTTTTTGAGACATTGGGTTTTTTATACCCAAGACCAGATTATCCTGAGATGATACTGAACCAGTATCTATTTACCAGAATGGGTAATCCTATTATATCCAAACAGAGTGTAACCTACAAGATATTATAGGAGTCTGGTGTTGTCAACACGATACCAATTAATTATAAAAGCAGATAACAGTTATTCAAGCTTTGAATTGTATTTAGTTTTTATACTTTATTTCACTTTATCGTTTTGTGGGTTTATCATTATTCTCACCTCCAAGAGAGGACATACAGAATAAGATTACAATAAAATTAAAATTAATATCTATATTTTTATTAGGTTTTACTTAGGGAGGTATTTAATGACATCTACTGAAAACACAATCTTTTAAAGCTCTTATTTATATTATCTCCTTTCTTAAAACTACTACTTTATTACTTCCAATTTAGAATGATACGGGGATAACTTTAGAGACACCTACATCACATGTTCTAAACATTTGTTCAGACACATGGAAAACCAAAGTGTTCAGGTTAGTTGGCCCTTAAAATGTGGCATTATGTGGCTTTCTGAGACTTACAATATGGAGAATAACCATTCACAATAAAGTTGAAAGAATGTGGACTCATTCATAAAGGGTGACTTTGCTAACTTGCCTATTAAAGTTTCAAGTAGTTACTTAGATCTTTACTAGATTTTTATATCTGCTATTCCCCTGTATATATTACTCTGATAATTTGGTGTCATAGATGTTAACCTCTTTATTACTCATATGGTACAATTAAGAAATAAAAAATGTTGGTTTGGAGTTTAAGAAACCTAATTTATGATTTGGGGTTTGTTATTAATTCACTGTGGGAAATGGTGGAAGTCCCTTAGAGTTCCCTGACCTGTAAAAGGAGTTAATTACATTAGATGACCTATAACATTTTTAGCTTCACAGTGACTATGACTCTGGTACTATTTTCTTTTTTTCAAAGAGAGATTATTGGTTGCAATAATCTCTCTTTGAAAGAGAAGTCTTTCTTGAGGATTCTGTTCTCTATGATAGTGACAGACAAGAATCAAGCACAAATACTTTGATGTCCAGATTAACCTAAGGCACTTGAAACATCTCACACAAGAAGGTTCGAACCAGTTTGTACTGTGATACTCTGAACTATTAGGTGTTCCTTGACTTTGCCTTAATTCACATACAGAGGTTTGGACGAAGGGTGCTCAACTAATATTTAAGTATAGCACTCATGAAAAGGACTTTTGAAGTCAATATTTTAGGAAGATTTTCTGTGATAAGTAAAGCAGTTCTTATCCAGAGAATTAAAATAGTGTTTGTGTCCTGTCAGTAAAATCGCAGGAAGAAAATATTCTGCCTTACAAAGATTAGAAACTCTTTTTCTATGCAAATGTAGATGAATAGCATTTGTTTTCTTACCGTAATATGATTACTTCATGTCTTCATATGGATCCACTACAAAAGTCTTGCCATTACTTATAAATATATAATTGGATATTCTCTACAATTTTTATATATATGTGCATATATGTATTTATTTACATACACACATATACAAATTTTAAAGACAGAGTGAAAAAATTATTTAAAACTGATATCTTCTTGCATTAACTGGTTTTTGTTTCTTTCAAATATAGTATTTCAGCAAATCTGTATATGTGTGGGAGTATGTATATATGTGTGACTGTATCTGTCTATGTATTGTTCCTCAGCTTTACATACAGGGCTGTAGGAAAAGTGGATCTATGTATTATATTTTCATGGGCACTGGAACACTGTCCTTAATACTAAACAATACCAACTCTTTGTAAGCTTTGATACCTATAATCCTTTACTAGAGCAATATTCTTAAATTCCATACAGATGACAAGTGTTAACAGCTCCAACTGAAGAAACAGTTGGCTTAAATTCCTCCTGAAGGGTGAATAGTATGAAATCCCTTCCTGAGGATTAAGTGGGGCTGAGGGCAGTGGGGTGTTGATGCAAAATGGATGAAAGAGAATGAGACCCGTCAGAGACTAGTAAAAAACATCAGAGAATGGAGATTAGACTGTTAAAGGTCAACTTGACCATTTATACAATTATACTCCAAGTCAGTGTTGATCTATCTATTAATCAGAAATTAAATTTAAAAATTTGATTTACTTAAGAAACATGGTTTCTGTCTCCAGGTAGGTTTGTTACTGAAGTGTGTGGAAATATGTGTTGAAATTCTTTTTCTTTTTTTTAAAGATTTTATTTATTTATTTGAGAAAGAGTATGAGTGGGGAGGGGGAACAGGAGCAGGGATCAGAGGCAGAGGGAGAAGCAGGCTCTCCGCTGAGCAGGGAGCCCACATGGGGCTCAATCCCAGCACCCTGGGATCATGACCTGAGCTGAAGGCAGACGCTTAACCGACTGAGCCACCCAGGCGCCCCATGTTGAAAATATTCTTGATTGCCATTTAAATAAGTTTTTAGTAATTTACTATCAAACATTTTTAACAGTGAACAGAGTAAAAGTAAAAGTTTAGTAATTTACTATCAAACATTTTTAACAGTGAACAGAGTAAAACAGTGAACAGAGGAATCAACGGAACCGTTGATTCCCGGCATCATAGTGTTTTACATTATAAATTTGAAGTCCTCTTCATTGGTGCTTCCTAAAGATGAAATAGCTCTGAGAAGACATATACTTAAAATTAGATTGCCACTATCCTTGTTAAAATTTGAAAAGTGTAAATACTCCTAAATATGTTTTGCAGTTCTGGAAATGACAGACTCTTTTTTTTTTTTTTTAACCTGTAGGTACTGCCGTGGGAGTGGTTTGTGCCACAGACAGAGATGAACCGGACACGATGCATACACGCCTGAAGTATAGCATTTTGGAGCAGACCCCGAGGTCCCCTGGGGTCTTCGCTGTGCATCCCAGCACAGGTGTTATTACCATCACCTCTCATTATTTGGACAGAGAGGTAGCTTTCCACTCCCGAGGAGCATCATTTTACTGGGGGCTGAGATCCCTACCCCATTTACTGTCGTTGGCTCTCCCGTGGTCTTAGGTGTTTCTATTTTATTTTATTTAGGTGTAAGACAATAAGAATTCCTGGTCTTGTTACCTGTTGTTTTGTTTTGTTTTGTTTTTAATATTACTTCTATTTCCTTCGGTAAGAGAAGCCATAGGATTAATGCAGATCACTTGGTGCTTAGAAGGAGTAGGAACAAAGTATGTCTCTTATGAAAGTTGCTATTGTTAACTGTTACTCTATTCTTGTGTGTGGCTAGTTGGTTCCAGCTCAGTGAAGCCTTCAGTTCTCTCATGTAGGACAATTAATTTTGCTTGTTGCACGAGTTTAGATCATAGACTGATCCCTCTCCAGTTATTGTTGATACTTGATATGTGCTTTTTTTTTTTAAGGTTTGATTTATTTATTTGACAGAAAGAGCGAGCGAGCACAAGTAGGGGGAGGAGCAGAGGAAGAGGGAAGAAGCAGGCTCTCTGCTGAGCAGGGAGTCCGATGCGGGGCTCGATTCCAGGACTCTGAGATCATGACCTGAGCTGAAGGCAGAGGCTTAACCGACTGAGCCACCCAGGCGCCCCTTGATATGTGCTTTTTATGAGGAATGAATTAGTTGATATAAGGTTGATGGATTATTATGAAACCTGTCACACTGTTTGGATGATAATACTCGCATATTGTCGGGCATATAGCACTTTATGTTCAAATTCTTATGCATAATTATTATTTGGTCTTTATAATTTCCTTGTTTAACTAGATGAGTGTTCCATCCAATTTATAGAGGACAAACGTGACAGAAAGAGTGATTCGCCTGAATCAAATTACTGCACTGAATCTTCTGATTTTTGTTATTGTTGCTCTGTCTGTATTGTCAGCCTGTGTTTAACTCAGAGCCCCGAATTATTGACTGAAGCAGATTAATCAATTTCATGTGCACTAAAGAGCTCGATTACAACACTTCAGTGGTTCCCACTGCAACCAGATTAACACAAATAGAGGGGTCAGTATGACATGGAGAGATAATGTACAGAAGAAATCAGTGGAATTTGATGCCAAAGAAAAAGGGAAGGGTTGATGAGAACCCGTGAAAAGGAATCAAAAATAGTACAAAGGTTCTATTTGTCATTATTTTTATTTTTGTGTGTGGTCAGGACAGTTTATGTGAGAAAGCACAGGATGGTAATAACTAATGGGCAGGTTTGAAGGGGCAATATGAATGTGTTTTTCGATAAGTGGGGATAGGTAGAGTCTATGTAGTAATCAAGCAAAAACAAGCATTTTCCCTCATTTCTTACACATGGGGAAATGAGGCTTTAGGAAAATTAAATAATTTGAGGGTACACAGCTTGTAAGGTACAGATCTGTGGTCAAACCCAGGTCTGTTTTCCTTTTTTTTTTTTTTTTTAAGATTTTATTTATTTATTTGAGAGAGAGAATGAGCTAGAGAGAGCATGAGAGGGGGGAGGGTCAGAGGGAGAAGTGAACTCCCCACTGAGCAGGGAGCCCAATGCGGGACTTGATCCCCAGACTCCAGGATCATGACCTGAGCTGAAGGCAGTCGCTTAACCAACTGAGCCACCCAGGCACCCCCCAGGTCTGTTTTCCTGATCAAAAAAAGTCAACAGGATTTTTTGGGGAGCAACCACAAAGTGTGTTGTGGGAACAACAGAGAAAAGAAAGAAATGAACAAGAGAGATAAACAAAAAACCCCAGTGCCTTTAGAGGAAGAAAAAGCAGGGTATCAGACAGTGGGGCCTAAAGGAGGAGCATTTCAGGGTGGGAATGTTGGTTTCCAATGTGGAAGGGGGTGGTTAGCAAAATGAACACTGGAGGAAGAGATGGCAGGAAATTGAAAACGGAGAAAAGTAAAAAAGTGAAAACAAAACGAAAGGAGTGGCTAATGGGTAATGAGAGAGAAGAGAAAGGCAACAGTGGTAATTGTGTCATAAAGTAATGAGTTCATTTCATCATCACCACACCATTTGCAAAAATTGTCTTCACTGAAGTCAATGGTGACCTCCTAATGGCCACATCCACCTGTTGCCTGAAGCCCCTGTCTATTGTTGGCACTTAATAAAACTCTTCTCTTTCCTGGTTCTTTTCCTGTTTCTCTGATCTTTCCTTTTTAGTGTGCGTAGCTTAGTCTTCCTACTTCCCCCATGCTTGAAATGCTACTGTTCCTTCTATCCTTAGCTCTTCTCATCCGTTAACCTCTCCTAGATAATCTGATTGCTGCTATAATTTCAACCAGCGTTTACATACTAATGACCCCCAGATTGGTATTTCTGGCTGTGAACTCTCCCGTAAGTATGGGGCCATACATCCAAGTGCCTTCGGAACCTTTCTCCTTAGATTTCCCATAGGCGCATAAAATCCAGCATATGCCAAACACAGCTCATTCCTTTTGGCCCTCCTTGCCAACCTTGCTAGTGTTCACTGCCGTGGAGAAGTGAACGTGGCTCTCCTTCGGCATTTGCCCCTCTGCCTGCCCGAGGATGATGGCTGAGCATCATTCTCAACTCTCTCTTTTCTCTTAGGTTTTTATTTTTTTCAATTTTTTAAAAAAATTTTATTTTAATTCCAGTAGAGCTAACATACATTCTTATTTTAGTTTCAGGTGTATAATTGAGTGATTCAGTAATTCTGTATATTCCTCAGTGCTCATCAGGAAAAGTGTACTCTTTTTATTTTTTATTCTTTTTTTTTATTATGTTATGTTAATCACCAGACATTACATCATTAGTTTTTTTTATTATGTTATGTTAATCACCTCTCTTAGGTTTTGTATAGAATCTACCATCACATTCTACTAAATGCTAACTCTCAAGGAACTTGCTTGTCACCCTGTCTGTTCTCATGGTCACTTCCTCAGATTTGGATCCCCTGTCTTAGACGATTTCTTTTACTTTCAGCTCAGTTTACCACAAATGATGCTAAATCTTCTTTAAGAAACTTCTTTCTAAAACTCAGATGTTCTTATTTTGTGCTCCCTCTAGGACTCCCACAAAACTTTTCCCAATTACCTGCTACTTAAAGTATAAATCTAAATTCTTAGTATGGCTTTTTGTAATTTAACCTCTATTTACCTTTTCAGCTTCTCCCTGTCTACCAAGTTCTTAAAGTGTATACAAATATGGAATCCAATAAAAGCATGGATATGCACAAATAGAAGAGTGTACAATTGAGGTTTCATTTGTAAGTCAAAGCATATGTTTTCAGAACTGATTAAATATTTGCTTTGTTTTCAGTCTGTAGAAAAGTACTCACTGATAATGAAAGTACAAGACATGGATGGTCAGGTTTTTGGATTGATGAGTACATCAACCTGTATGATCACAGTAAAAGATTCAAATGACAACGCACCTACTTTCAAACAAAATACTGTAAGTATATAGTTTCAGAATCTACCTCCACTTGTCAACTATTATTTGTTATTTAATATGAATTAACAAAGTATCTAGCATACTTTGATGTATGTTTATTTTTTATGAATAAAATTAGAATTTAAGTCGCTGACATATAAATCTCTCTTATTTATTCATTGTAGTATTTATATTATCTCCTAATAAAAGCAAGTAACATTCATCTTCATTTATAATGTAGTTCTTTCATTTCAAAGATAATCCTTAATGAAACAACAGTCTTTGTAATTCATAGCTTTAAAATAAACTAGATAAAAACTATAAGAACCAGTATTCTTGGAGTGGAAGAAATATTTTACTTTGTTTGTAGAAGTTCTCTTTATAAAGTGAGTTTTTAATGAGTTCTTTCTGTTTCAGTACGAAGCATCAGTAGAGGAAAATGTATACAATGTGGAGATCTTACGAATACCTGTAGAAGATAAGGATTTAATTAACACTGCCAATTGGAGAGCCAATTTTACCATTTTGAAGGGCAATGAAAACGGACATTTCAAAATCAGCACAGACAAAGACACTAATGAGGGTGTTTTGTGGGTTGTAAAGGTACAGTAATAATTAATAATTGACAACTTGGCAAGCTAACAAGTTCTATTCAACTAGTGGCTTAATCAACTAAATAGTTTCAGATCAAAGACTCCAGAAGTTAGAATAGAGCTAAGTCTGTTTAGTCCAACTGTTCCCATCTAATACTGTCTTTCTTCTATAATTTTATTGCCAGTCATTTGTCACCAAGCTTATGCTTGAACATTCTCAGTTCTAAGGATCTCCATATCTCTATTGGCAGCAGATTCCATATTTGGAGAGCTTTGATTCTCGGAAGTCCTTCTTCTACTGTGTCCAAATTATTCTCCTTATATCCCATGGTTCTGTCTCTAATGGTCTGGGTTCCATCCCTAATGGAAGAAATAGAATTCTTTTGAAAAGATTGCTATGTTCATTTGAAACTTACCTTCTCTATGGTAAGTGTTCCTGATTCCTTTATTCCTAGCATGATATAATTTAGAAGCCCATAGTCTTCTCATTCTCTTTCTCTCTGGAATATGCCTGGTTGTATCTGATCCTTTATAGGTGGAATTGAGGGTGAAATATAGTGTTATATCAGACAGCACTGCAGGAACTTACTCCTTATTCTATATATTGTATTTTTGGTTGCATTGTTTTATTCTAGGGTCCAGGTTATGAGGATAGAAAAGGCCCTATTTGGGAAGGATTCTTGGTTTTATATTTGTAACTCAGAACAAGGAAGAAAATTGTCCTATGGGCAGGTAAAGGAGTCATCCATTGACTAAAGGAAGCTTTCCTGCCAACGACAACATGGAGGAGACTTTGATACATAAATATTTATTTATAATTGTTTCCTCTGTAAAAATTTCCAGAGATTATGTAATAAGCATCTGCAAGTTCTACCCAGTGTGAATAGTCAAATATATTTGTTCCAAATTACTCTCAACATCAAACCTCTATTTTAGTTTTCTCTAATATGATCTGCTCGAGTTGAATATTGAAACCAACTACTTAAGAAAAATGAAACTTTATAACTGATAGTAGTAGGAAAAGAAATAAGCAGATGGTACTGATTGTTTTTCCTCTTTATTGGTCCAGCTCAATCCAGTCTTTATTTGCACTCTCCAGAAAGCAGAACCCAAGACAAGGAATTCAATGAAGGGAAATATTTAGAAAGTGGGTCCCAGGAAGCCAGAATAAAAATGGGAAAGTAGGACAGGAAAGAATGGAAAGCCAATCAAGTCTGCGTTATTGACTTAGTCACCTCGGGTGTTCAATCCTGCAATGAACCGTGTAGAATGTACTTCAGAATTATCTCCTCAAAAAATAGTACCTGGGGCATTTATCCATCGACTCCCGCTGTTGATACCCATGCCTCATTGATTGAAGGTTGCCTCCAGGGAACCTTAGTGTTCCTGCACTTCTGGGCTTGGCTGTGCTTTGTAGAGGGAGAGTACTCTGGCTTGGGAGCAAACTTTGAATCTGAAGAGCTAAATCTTTGTGTGCTTGAGATGTGAGTCTGTCAGCATAAGCCGGGGAGTGTCCACCACAGCTGCCCCTGAAGTCGGGCAGGCTGAGGGTCTGTGGTGTATAATTTCCAAAGGTAGACACACCTATTAGTACAGGCATTTGCCTCAAAAACTGATGTGATTGGCAACAAATGTTCCGTAAGAGACTTCTCCTGGACACCTCCTCTGCACACCCCTCACCCCCACCTTCACTTCTTTCTAGAAATAAGTCCAAGAAATAGCTTGAGATCTGAGGTGGATAGATTATGCCAACTGCAGTAGCTCAAGTCAGACCCAAACTCAGACCTTTTAGAGTTCTCCGTATCTGTTGCTTGATTAGAAGGCTCCTCCTTGGTTCTCTCTCATTCGAGTCCATTATTAAAGACCCGTTATTATTATTTTTTAAATCTCAGTGATTTTATCTTGCTTCAGAAGGCAAAATTTAAGTAACACTGGGAATTAAATTTTTATTGTGAATTTTTTAACCAGTAGAAAATGAATTTTAGTAAACTTTGTCAGAAGAATATATTCTAAAAAAAATCATAGTATGTCAACACATTCCGTTTTTTTCATATTCAGAGTGGATTTTTTTCCCCTCGAGTGTTGATCACAGAGACATTAAGAAAAATATTTCCAAATATTTTCAGAAATTATAACCTGTATCCTAGAATATTTCTCACTCTGTGTGACTAATAAACATCTGTTTTATTTCTGGTGAACAGCTTCTGGGTACCATCTCAGGATTCCCCAGGAGGGAGAACAAGTAGATGGTGATACTTTAATTTTTTGTCTCTCGTTCAGTTTAAGTTAATTTCACATATGAAGAATAAAGAAAATCCCCCCAATAAAATTTATATGCATTTATTCCTATTATCTTTAAACATAAGATAGTTGCACTTGTATTTTATAGTTACATCCTAGTTCTTATACCTAGGAAATGCTTTTAGAATTTTAAAAGCACTTATCAAGTATTGATCACCTTTCATGTCTGTCACAGGGAATGATGCTAATCATCTTATGCAGGTTATATCTAGCTGTCACATCCCCTTTAGGATAAGATATTATTATTATCCCCATTTTACAATTAAAAAAAGATGCCCCACTTGCCCCAGTTCATGGGAGGTGATAGAGCTAGGATGCGAACTCAGACGTTCTTGATGCAGAACCTTCCTCAGAACCGCTGTGCTACTTCTCCAGCTGGGGACCTTTGGGTCATGTTCCCCTTGTCTCTCCTCTTTCCCATCCTTGGGTTACTTGGTTGGATAAAACCATGACTTTAGTTGCACAAGGGGTCTTTTTTTGGAACTTGAATTAATTTCTACTTCTCTGAGTTTACTTTTTAAATTATCTCCTTCCTCTGTAATTAATAGCTCCTTTGGTAATTTTACCTTCTCTCTTTCTTTGAGCCATTCATAATAGTCTCTAACATTTTGGTCAATAAAATTTGCATTTTCCATGGTATATTTTCCTTTCTGTATTTTACACAAACCCTTAGAAAACTTGAATTCATCACACAGTTCTTTTGGTAACCACACTGGTCTTTAAGGTGTCTTATCTTTTTCCTTGCTAAAGATTTGTGTTTGTGTACTTAAGTTATTTCTTTAAGTGCTTTCTAACCTTGGTGAGTCATCTTCTATTTTAAAATCAAACACTGGGGGCGCCTGGGTGGCGCAGTCGGTTAAGCGGCTGCCTTCGGCTCAGGTCATGATTCCAGGGTCCCGGAATAGGGATTGAGCCCCACATTGGGCTCTCTGCTGGGTGGGGAGTCTGCTTCTCCCTCTCCCTCTGTTCCTGCCCACCTGCTCGTGCTCACTCGGTCTCTCTCAAATAAATAAATGAAGTCTTAAAAAAAAGTTTAAAATCAGGGGCACGTGGGTGGCTCAGTTGTTGGGCGTCTGCCTTCGGCTCAGGTCATGATCCCAGGGTCCTGGGATCGAGCCCCACGTCGGGCCCTGCTCTGCGGGAGGCCTGCTTCTCCCTCTCCCACTCCCCCTGCTTGTGTTCCCTCTCTCGCTGTGTCTCTGTCAAATAAAAAAAAAAAAAGATTAAAAAAAAGATAAAAAGTTTAAAATCAAACACTGTATAATCAAGGCATTTTGAAATCCATCATTCTTTCACTACTTACATAATGATGGCTAGGAATGAACTTTATTCATTCCTTTATACCAAAATGAATTAAATAATCAGTAAGTTAAGTTAAGCCAAAGATTGCTCAAATATACTTCTTTAATCTAAACAAAGCTTCCAAACGTTGCCTTGTTAGTTGGTGTCTCCTCTTGGTGCATTATTTTGGCTATTAACCAAAAACACATCACTTTTTCTTTCAATTGCCTGGGTGACAGATCCTTATAATCTATAGTAGAAAGCACTCACGGTGGGCTTACAATGTTAAATGTTATTCTTACACAGTAGTGCAGAAGACAAAACTTAGTCTCAGAGAGGTTAAGGACCTTAGTCGAAGTGGCACAGCTAGGATGCAGTAGGACAGTATTTGAACCTAGGTCTCTCTAATTGCAAAGTACATGCTCTTAAGTGCCATGTTAAATTCCTTTGTATAGCTATGTGATCTTGGAAAGTTAGCCTCTCTATTATCTATAAAACATAAAAAAATACTTCTCTCTGCCTCCCTAATAGCTATTGCATTATAACAATGAAAGTGAAAACACTTGGTATACTATAGGATATTATTATTATATTTTTAGAAGCCTTACATGTTCGTGGGGCTAGTGTTACAATTTTCCATATTGGATAACTTTTCTGGAACCTTCGAGCATGAGCTGATGCAATCTTTAGCTCAGGCCTGGATGATCTTTCCATCCCAGCATTTCCTTTCTATTTGAGGAGCAGCCATAATGCACATGGGCTTGAGTGACAAAAATACTGTTCTAGGCTGTTCTCAACAGAGAGGGCCCACTACAAAACAGCACTTTATATTCTGGGAACCATTAATATCTCAGTGCAGATATAGGCTATTTTTTTTTTTTTTTTTTTTTTTAAGATTTTATTTATTTATTTGAGAGAGAGAGAATGAGAGACAGAGAGCACGAGAGGGAAGAGGGTCAGAGGGAGAAGCAGACCCCCGCTGAGCAGGGAGCCCGATGCAGGACTCGATCTCGGGACTCCAGGATCATGACCTGAGCCGAAGGCAGTCGCTTAACCAACTGAGCCACCCAGGCGCCCTAGGCTATTTTTTTTTTAAAGATTTTATTTATTTATTTGACAGAGAGAGACACAGCGAGAGAGGGAACACAAGCAGGGGGAGCGGGAGAGGGAGAAGCAGGCTTCCCGCTGAGCAGGGAGCCCAGTGTGGGGCTCGATGCTGGGACCCTGGGATCATGACCTGAGCCGAAGGCAGACGCTTAACGACCGAGCCACCCAGGCGCCCCTAGGATATTTTTGAGCCTTTTTTTTTTTTTTAATTGATTAAAACATAAAGCTACCTTGTGGTGGAAGAGAATTCCTGTTTTTTTTTCATTAATCACTGATTTCATCCCACCAGATTTCCAATCTGTAGAGTTTTAAGCTTCTAAAGCAATATCCAATGTAAGCCTTGAAAAATTACATAAAGAAATTCTAAGGCTTCAGCAAGGGGCCCTGGCTGGAATAACAGCACCTCCTCCAGAACAGCAGCTGTTCGTGAATTTCCATCCATGTGTCATTGCCAGGAGATGCTCTCATTCTCTTTGTGATCATACCGACACATGTAATTTGTGACATAGTGTTCATTAGCAACAGATAAACAGATATTAATTCTTTTCCTCTTTTGACTCTCCATTTTCTGGAGTGTTCATAAAAAATAAAAAAGCGTTTCACATACGTTTTGTGGAATCTAAGATTCAGAAATTTCCTTGACTTCTTAGTGGACTCATGATATTAGGTATCTCAGCTTGATAATAGCTAGGTATGGGGAAAGGTTTAAAATAAAAATTTGACTCCTCCATTTTGATTTTGTTCAATGGCCAGCCAATGATGGTTTTGATAAGCAGAAAGAGAAAGAAAAAAATGCTTCGAGTTTGCAATACAATGTAAAATAATGTTTTTATAGGTTTTGCTTGATTTGCTGTCTAAAAATCAGTTTGTTTTTTTTTAAGATTTTATTTATTTATTTATTTGACAGAGAGAGAGAGAGAGACAGATAGTGAGAGCAGGAACACAAGCGGGGGAGTGGGAGAGGGAGAAGCAAGCTTCCTGCTGAGCATGAAGCCCAATGCGGGGCTCGATCCCACCACCCTGGGATCATGACCTGAGCTGAAGGCAAACGCTTAACAACTGAGCCACCCAGGCGCCCCTAGAAATCAGTTTTAATCAAAGGACTCACTTAAATGTTTTTAGAGGCTGATGAACCCAATTAAGCAGCATCATATAGCAGAGGGATTATAGTGTGGTGGTTAAGGAAATGGACATAGTCCATAGGAAGTAGTAAGTCAAACAAAATTGCATTCTCCTGGAGTTAGATGCCCCTTACACTGGTCCTTTAGTGCTCTAAAGCAGGACTGTAAAAACACTGTTTGGTGTTTTTTTGTTTTTTGTTTTTTTGCATTATCTCCAGGTTCAGAATCATTTTCCTTAGTAAGAATGAACTATAAAAGTATTTCAGGAATTATTTTTCCACAGCTCCATAAGACCACCTGCAGAAACGTTCAGACCACTCTTGCTAAAGGCTTCGTGAAGAATCACCTCTCTCTTTAGCCAAGGGTAAAAGTCAATATTGATTGAATGGGAACATAGAATTCATGCAACACTATTCATATTTACAGTTGTTCACTTGTTATTTGAAATACCGTATGTATTTTACACTGATGCTGATTCCCATATGCTTTTTTAAAAAGCCGCTGAATTATGAAGAAAACCACCAAGTGATCCTGGAAATTGGAGCAAACAATGAAGTTCCGTTTGCTAGAGATGTTGCACTCAGAATGGCAACCATGAACCGAGCCTTGGTCACAGTTCATGTGAGGGATCAGGATGAAGGGCCTGAATGCAGCCCTGCAACTCAATATGTGCGGATTAAAGAAAATTTAGCAGTGGGGTCAAAGGTCAATGGCTATAAGGCATATGACCCTGAAACTAGAAGTAGCAATGGCTTAAGGTACAAAGAAGTCTGTAACCACATACGAATAATGTATTTGTAATAATTGAGATAGTAACTTATTTTAATACATTTTATATTGCTAAAGACTTTTATTTTACATTAATAGGTACAAAAAATTGCATGATCCTAAAGGATGGATCACCATTGATGAGATTTTGGGGTCAATCACAATCTCCAAAATCCTGGACCGGGAGACCATGACTCCCAGAAATGACTTATATAATATTACAGTCCTGGCAATAGACCAAGGTAAAAAAAAAAAGTTTTAATATGGTATTTTAGAAAGGAATTAGAGAATAAACTGCTATTATTATTGTGCAGAATTTTTGTGATAAGTATTTGGAATTGTTAGAAATTACTTTGAAGACTGTTCCTGTTTCTTTTAATCATCTAACAAGGTGAACCTTGTAAGGTAAGCCATGTCTTATTTATCTTTATATCCCCAGCATAGCGAGACCTCAAATGCTTATGGATCCATGTGTTGGAGGGCTAAGACAAAACTTAAGTCTCAGATCAGATGAAATGGCCTCACTAGACTCTTGTATATCTCTTTATGCCACTTTAAATAGAATCTTTGAGAAACTCAGTTGATTATTAGGTCAAAGTGATCCTTTCCTTGAATTCTGTTCCTTAAAACAATCCAGAGGTTCTCAACCTCAGCTTCATACTAGAATATTAGAATAATTCATAATTAGAATAATATTCTAATTCAATTAGAATAATAGTAATTCACTTGGGGCACTTAAAAAAATCATTTTGTAGACATGACTTTGACACGCTGAATCAGAATCCTGGGTTGGGGAACCTGAACATCGTATCTTAAAAATCTCCCTAAGTGGCTTAAATGTGTATCAGGATTAGAATAACTTTTTGTACCCTTTTTACTGTTCAGTAACATCTGTACTAAAGAAACCCGCCCTGAAACACAGAGTTTGCAATTCACACATTGATTTTTATTGTTTGGTAATAATCCTGACATAAGGTTTATTGGCAGTTCTGGCTGATATTATCAATGGTGGTACTGATTTTAGATGATCTGTAGGTTTCATGTATCCTTCTACATTCTTATGTCCCATTTTCTGTAATAATCAGCTTATTTAAGACAACATATATGTAGAATGTAGTTAATTTGTTTTATTAGGAAACTATAAAAGAAGGCAAGAAACTACACTAAACCTTTTCTCTTTCTTCCTAGATGGTAGATCGTGTACTGGAACACTCGCAGTTAACATTGAAGATACGAATGATAACCCACCAGAAATACTTCAAAGTAATATAATAGTTTGCAAACCAAAGATGAAGTATACTGACATCTCAGCTGTCGATCCTGATGAACCTGTCCATGGTGCTCCATTTTATTTCAGCTTGGCAAACACTTCTCCAGAAACGAACAGAATATGGATCCTCACCAAAGTTAATGGTATTTATTGATTTATTTTTAAAGAGTTGTTTATTTATTTGAGAGAGAGGGAGGAGAGTGTGAGAGAGCATGTGAGCAAGTGGGTGGAGGGGCAGAGGGAGAGAATCTTCAAGCAGACCCATGAGATCATGACCTGAGCCGAACCCAGGTGTCTTTTGGACACTTAACTGACTGAGCCACCCAGGCACCCCAAAAATATTTAATAAAAAATAATGATTTATATGTTCTAAAATAACTGAGAATGGATTTTCTTGTTTACTATAATATTCTCATTAATATATTTGAGAAGACTAACTCAGACTTTTACAAATATTATAGGAGGTCTGTGTTATATATTGCCTATAAAATGCAAGAAATCATAATTTTTATGAAGGCAAAATTTGTATTTCCAACAAAGACAAAAAAGCTTTATTAAAATATTGGGCAGCTTATCATTAAGAAAAATTGTTTTTGGTGTATTTTTTTTGAGAGAGAGGGAGGGTGGGGGAAGGATAGAGGGAGAGAGAATCTTAAAGCAGGCTCCACGCTGCGCATGGAGCCCAATGCAGGCCTCAATGTCATGACCCTGGGATCGTGACCTGAGCCAAAATCAAGAGTCGGACGCTCAACCGGCTGAGCCACCGAGGCACCTCTGGTGTATTTTTAAAGTGACTCCAGTGAGGTGAGGACAGAGCAGAGATGGGCAGTTTAAATTTTAGTGTAAGTAAACTCTGAAATGAGGAATCTGGGTGTGTGAGACAAGCACTCTATAGTATTCTGGAGAGCAACATGGTGGGATTGGACAGAGGCATGGCGCTGGAGCCCTCAAAACAGCTTCCTATGATAGTGGTTTCTGGGGGAGTGTAGTATTCTATATTTCAGGCACCCTTCCCATTTCATAGTTCGATATTAATTCATGATACCTGTGGAGCGCCTGCCGTCTACCGTGCACTGTTCTGACCCTGCAGATACGTGTAGAGTTAACAAGACAGACATGACTCCAGTTCAGATGCTCACATCTGTGAAATCTTTCTCGAAGTCGAAGGAGTAGCATCATGACCTTTTCTACCTGTATTACAGCTCCTTTCATGTTGTATTATTATCTGTTTACCTTTCTCCTCCAATACATGAGTTTCTCAGGATATTTGTGATTAATCTGTGTATTTCCAGCACGTAACCCAGTGCTTAGTAGATATTAACAGCTTAATAAGTGTTTGTTTAATCAATAATTGGTTAATAAATATGCACAAAGAAGGAAAATGCTGGGGGGAATAAGTAAACCAGTGTTGTTAGAGTTTAGGTTTTAGCAGGAATGCTGAGAGATTGGGTGGGAGGATGGATGGACTCTGGTCGTGAAGAGCCTATGTACCAGGCTGGGGAGACTGACTTTTTGTACAGCAGGTGTGCTCTGGGAGTGGGCTGGGAAGGAATGCTGTGCCCAGATTTATGTCTTAACAAGGTGACATTGGTGACAGGACAGTTTGAAGAGGGCAGAGTGGAATGGCAAGGACGTCACAAGCTGTTGCACTAGTATGAATAAACGAGATGTGACTACAGCTGAGCTTGTGGTCTTGAGGGAGGAGAGGAATTTGAAGGATTTTATCTTAGCCACAGTATGATCTGGGAGGGTTCCACCTAACCCTTCGTAGTAATTCACATTCCTCTGGGGAGCTTTACATTTGAGGTGCAGCCAAAAATCTTTGAAGTTCTCATCAGCTGTCACAGTGCATTTAAGAAAGGCTTACAAGTTACAGATGACCTCGAGGATGTGCATGGTGCTACTGTATCATTTCGCTTATTGCAAAACTCCGACTGTTGTAATTGGCTTTGAAAGTGTGTAGAGTTTTTGGTCACTTGATAATGAAGTCATTAAAGTAGGTATCGAGGCTATTGGGGAAATATAGTTGATAAAAATGTATTGTTATGTTACAGATACATCTGTTTTTATGTAAGCCTTATACCTAGCCTGGGTGACATTAATTAGCTTTCTGGTATTGAGATCACTTCTAGAGGGAAGGCATAATAACGAAGGGTCTGTTGTACTTTGGAGAATTACCTTATGTGTAAAGATAATGGACAGGTACCAGAAAGTAAATGGACAAGAGAATGTCAACTTAAGACGTACTTTGTGCATAGCAATAGTTGTTAATTCTTTATGAGTACCATAAACTGGTACTATAGAAAAATGCTTGAGGTGCATATCAGGGGCCCATCTACCATCATTGGTTTGTAGATAAGGGAAAGATAAGGGAATATTCAGTATTGCTGAATTGCTACTGGATCACTCCAGTGTCAAATTAGGTCTTTCAGCCATTCGTAAAAAGTTACAATGGGCACACATAGTAATATTAGTGCTGAGAAATGTGGAAGGTAGTTCTCCATTTTAACACATTTTCACGTGGCAGGTGGTTCCTTGAGAATAATATGTTTAGAAACAAAGGTGGCAAAACAAAGCTAAGGGAGAAATAAATGTCCATTAAAGATATAATTCTTTCATTTTCTTTCAGATACAGCTGCCCGTCTTTCATATCAGAAAAATGCTGAATTTCAGGAATATAGTGTTCCTATTACTGTAAAAGATAGAGAAGGTCAATCTTCAACAAAAACCCTGAGAGTTAATCTGTGTGATTGTACTCATCCAAGTCAATGTGTGGCAGCTCGAAGGAGTGCAGGAGTAATACTTGGAAAATGGGCGATCCTGGCCATCCTACTGGGTATAGCACTACTATTTTGTAAGTCCTTTTACTTACTTAAAGTTAAAATGTATCATAAATACCTGAGTGCAGGAAAAGGTCTTTTTTTTTTTTTTTTAAAGACTTATTTATTTGAGACAGCGAGAATGAGAGAGAGAGAGAGAGAGAGTACATGACGGGGGGAGGGTTAGAGGGAGAAGCAAACTCCCCGCTGAGCAGGGGGCCCGATGCGGGACTCGATCCCGGGACTCCAGGATCATGACCAGAGCCGAAGGCAGTCGCTTAACCAACTGAGCCACCCAGGCGCCCCAGGAAAAGGTCTTTAAAAAGTAATCTTGTCCAACTATCCATCAGGGGTGGGCAGTTTACAAATTGCTTTTGTGTTATATCTGAGTTCTGATGGACTATTTTCAGGGAGAGGGAGCAAGATCCTTTTTGAAATACGATTTCCTATTTGGACAGAGCTGTTTAAAATTCCTTAGACGGTACCAAATCTGTCAACATACAGTTTTCATTTCTTGGTCCTAGTACTACCCCGTGTCGGGCTAAATAAAACAATCTAAACTTTCTGCCATAGGAAGGTCCACGACAAGCCACTGTGGTCTCATCTCATCATTTTGCCACGGCCTTATGGGAATGACTCGGATCACAGCAGTATCTCTTCTTGGGTGTATCTTGCTAGTTTTGATTTTTTTAACCTCTTCCTTGCCAGTTGTATAGTTCCCAATGGCATCATATTTTTCCCTCTTTTTATTTCCATCCGCTCCTCCAGCCTGGATTAGCCCCTGTTTCTTTGTTCTGTGATAGGACTAGCTGTTAAGAGCAAGACTCTGGAACCAAACTCTCTGGGTTTGTAACCCAGCTCTATCATTTGCAAGCCATGTGACCAGCAGGGCTGGGGTGGGGGGGGGGGGGCGCGAGTTCCTTAACTGTGCTTCAGTTTCCTCATCTGTGAAAGGGGATAATTGGGGTGGCCTGCTTTATGGGGCAGCACTGAGCATTAATTGAACTAATGCACGTGAAGAGCTTAGAATAGTACAGTGTTCAATATTTTTCAGCAACTCCACAAAATAAAAAATCTATTAAAGACCTACGATATGCCAGAAACTGTCTAGGTGCTTGGGAGTCATCAGTGGACAAAAGAGACCAAACCAAACACAAACACTGTGCCTTGTGACAGTAAACTAATAAATAAATGAAATGCTGTGGAGGAAAAAATAGAGCAAAATAATTAGGAGCTGTAGTCCTGTGGAGCGTGTGTGGGTGATCGTGGGGGCTTGGGGTGAGTGACTACAGATTTGGTGGATGGTTTGGTCGGGGCTAACTTGACAAGGTTATCTTTTTTTTTTTGTCTGAAAATGTCCCTTTTCTACTTTTTTAAAAAAAGTTTTTATTTATTTTTTTATTATGTTCAGTTAGCCAACATACGAGGTTATCTTTGATGATTTTTGGGAAAGTTGAAAGAGTCAGCCAAGTATAGTACCTGGGGGAGAGGTTTTCAGTCTAGGGGAAAGTCAGCTCAAAGACCCTTAGGTGAGAGGGTGCCTGGAGAAGTCAAGGCATGGCAGGGACACTGGTGTGGCTGGAGTGGAGTGCATCAGGAGAGCGGGGTTGGACATGGAACCAGAAAGGTAACAAGGGGGCCACATAGAGTGGGCGGGCATTGGCACCCTTTTCCTATAAAGGGCTAGATAGAATATATTTTACATTTTGCAGGCCATGTGGTTTCACTTAGAACCAACGAAATCTACCCTTCTAATAGGAAAGCAGCCATAGAAAATATTTCAGTGATGGGCATGGCTAGGTTCCTATAGAACTTTATGGACGTTAACATTTGAATTTCATATAATTTTCACGTGTAGTGAACTTCTATTCTTTTAATCTCTAAAAACCATTTAAAGACCACAGCTCATAGGCCATACAAAAACATGTGGTGGGCTGGATTTGGGGCTGCAGTTGGGCCACCCTTTATTAGAGGGGTTTGTAGAGCATTGTAAGAACTGTCGTTTTTATTACAGCTGATTTTATTATCACATATTTCAACCTCCCACAGGTGTGACGTAGAATGAAAATTCTGAACAGACCAAATACAGAATAGTTTTAATTAAGATACTTGGAGATAAATCTGTTCTGGGGAGAAAAATCTGTCGTGTTTTCCTATAGGCAAACCATTCTTTTAGCAATCAGTAAATCTCTTTAAGGTCTCTGTCTTAAATAAATGTCACTGAAATTTTTGAAAATTTATTATTTAACTCACAATTGTAAATACTTGAACATTATGGATAGAATTCAAACTCTTAAACAGACTTATAATCAAAATATACATATAATTAATTCAGATTTTAAAGTCTAAGCTAAATTATGGCCTATTAATTTAGAAAAGCCAAGGTAATTCACAGGACCATGCCTTAGTGGCTTTGTTTTCCTCCTGTGTACCCGAGGTAATAAAAAATAAAAGAGGAGTATTTTATTCTATGTATGTTAAACCTTTTTTTTTTTTTTTTTTTAATGCAGCTGTATTGCTAGCTTTGGTATGTGGAGTTGTTGGTGCCAAAAAAAAAAAAGGTTTTCCTGAAGATTTAGCACAGCAAAACTTGATTATATCAAACACAGAAGCACCTGGAGATGATAAGGTGGTAAGTAATTTTTTAAAATGAGTATTTATCTCTGAGTATCTCCCATAATTTCTTTTACTGATTCTCATGAAGTTGTTTTGTAACTAAGAGTTAATATTTACATTTTTAGCTTGGTCAACTTTTGTAGGTGTAAGTATTTTATCTGTCAATATTCAAGTATTTATGTAGGTGGCATTTATTGAACTTCTTAAATCAGATGTGTTGTTTTAATTATCATTCTTCCACTCTCTAGTGTTATGATTTGAAATTTGCTCTTTGATGTTGTGAAATCATTATAATAACAATCTTTTAGCTGCTTTCTACAATGTAGAAATATTTCCAGATAGTATTTTTTTATCTAACTCTTTGACCATTTATAAGAGGAAAAAAAAACTTACTGAAAGTTTTCAAGATAAACTAAGAAGATATCAAAGAGATATATATATATTTTTTTTTAAAAAGTGTGTGGGGGAGGGTAGATTACTTGGAAGGCTATTGTCACTGTCTTTCCTTATGTATTTCTTGAGACCGCTGAGGTGCTTGCTTAGTACTAGGTGTCTTGTTTGGGCAGATGTCTATTTAAAAAGTTCTTACAGGGCATGTTCTTCCCTCAAAAAGATTTCAAAGTATTTATGGGAAATTGAATCTCCTTTTATGGGAAAAATAAGTAGGAACATGCAAGTAAACCATTAGCACCAATATGAGAGAGCACTGTTATCATTTAAAGATACTTGTGATACATAAGTCCGTTTGTGCTGTCTGGATCAACTGGCAAGGCTTAGTGAAAGAGGCGCGGATTCCTCTGTAACTTAAAGAATAGGAAGAGTTTGAAAGTTGAGAGATGGAATAGCAAAAGAGGTGGAAAACCGCCTCAAGAATAAAAATGGAGATGATAGGGGCGCCTGAGTGGCTCAGTCGGTTGAGCGTCTGCCTTTGCCTCAGGTCATGATCTCAGGGTCCTGGAATAGAGTCCCGCGTCGGGCTCCCTGCTCATTGGGGACCCTGCTTCTCCCTCTCCCTCTACCTGTGCTCTGCCTCTTTGTGCTCGCTCTCTTTCTCTCTGTCAAATGAATAAATAACATATTTTTTAAAAAAGGAGATGACAAAGTTTAGGGATTATTCAACAAATAGTAAAGAAATTGATTTGAAGTGGAAGAAATGATGTTTTACAATAGAAGCTTGACACTTAATTAGGCTCTTGGGGGGAGAGGATGTAAGAGAGGAGTAGGACATGGGGCTGTTGTATGCCACACTAAGGATTTGGGATTATTCTCTTGGTAAGGAAGAGCAGGTGAAGGTTTTTCTGCACAGAAGTGGCATATTGGGAGCAGCGTGATGCTGAGTCAGTAGGGTGATCGGTGAGAATAGGAAGACGTTAGGGATAGGGAAGATAAAGGATTAAAATCTTTCAAAAGTTGAAGCAGTGGATAACTCTGCTAGGATGAATAATGGTCATTGGAAATAGGGATAATAAATATTTTAAATGTGTAAATGATAAGATTGTTAGCTTTTGAGTAACAAAATAAAAATTGAAATCAAACGAAAGAGGCTGTAACCAAGGACAATGACTTTATATCAAGACTTTTCTGTATCTCAGTGTGAAGGCATCTTTCTTACTGACTTTCTCTCTTTACCTCCCATCATCATGGAAAATCATAGCCCACCTGTGCTTGACAGGCCTACACGTGGAACCCTGTAATTATTTCTCCATTCAGAAAATACATTTAATCCCTTAATCGTCCTTGACTCATAGTAAGTTCTTATTTTATATCTGAGAAGGGAATAGTTGAGATGTTCATAATACTTGTTCTTTGCCATTTGATGCTAGAGCTGGTAGCATTAATTGGCTGTTTCACCAAATGTACTCATCCCTATCTTTATCTGTTCTCTGTTAGGAGCACTTCTCAAAAGGACTCAGAATTATCAATTTATACCAAAACATAATTTTAGGTATATTTTTACAAAATATAACGAGATTTCTTAGTGAATGTGTAAGCTCATTTTAGTATAATGTACGGGTGATGACTTTAGTTCCGGAGCTAAGTTTAAGTCAAAGGCATTCAGGGTGGAGTTAGGAGCTGGTTGAAGAGTCAGGTTGAAGAGTAGGAGAAGTTAAATCTGGGAATCATTGACATGGAAAAGGAGTCGTTGATACCCCATGAGAATAAACTTTGGGCAACGCACGTAGAGATGGTCAGGAAGGAATAGAGAATAGAGAGAATGTGAAACGGCACTGTGGGCTTCGCCTTGGTTTTAGTTTAGCTTTAATTCTGGGATTAGCTTGCATGATCTCTGAACATGTATTTATAATGACAGAAATTATACCATCAAAGAGATTTGATAATGAGGGTTTTTTTTTTTTTTTTTTTTAAATGGAATTTCACTGTAGCAGCAACCTAAGCAAAAAATATAGGGTAGCAGTGCCACCAAATGGCTACTTCTCTCTTCTCTTTTCTGGTATAATTTTCTAAGGCGATGAGATACCGTGTATGACATTTACAGATACATTTCAGATTCTGAAATAGCCGAAACTCTAAATCATCTGAACCTGAAAATCTTCCAGTTTAGTTAGAGACTTTGCATATTAAATAGAAGAAAAACAAATGGGTAGGAAGATGGCACAATGGAGCCTGATTTTACTGGAGGTCTTGTCTGAGAGTCACAGTTCATAATTAGATCTGCCATGCTTGAGGTTACTGCTCGAACTGAACTTCTCCCGGGCGGCCCAGAGTTCCGTGTGAGGTGCCCACATTAAGTCGATGCTTAGGTCTTTTTTATCTTCAGACATTCCCTCGACTCTGCTTTCCTCTAGTTCCCTTCTGATCTCTTTTTCTTTGAAACTGAGCTTTTTGAGAGATTTATACTCGATTTCTCCATGATATTACTTCCTGTTCATTCAGCATTTCTTGGAAATTCTTTTGACAAAGACGACCAGTGGCCACTTTTTTTGCTTGAATCTAATAGGTGGATTACTTTATTTGAACCAGTTCTTAGACTACTTGGATGCTTTTCTCCTTACCATAATCCTCTCTGCGTGGCTTCAGATTTGTGTCTCTGGGATTCCTCTCTTCTCCAATAGCTATTTCAGATCAGTTCTGTCCTCTAATTCCCTTAGTCACCCCTTAAAACGTGTTTTTCTTGTGGTTCTATTCTTAGCCTTCTTTTCGTTTAGTCTACCATTTTCTCTGGGTGTTACAATTTATTCCCGTGGCTTCTACTACCTCCTATATGGTGGTGACCTCTGGAATCATAGCTCCAGCTCGGCTCCCCCACCTGAACTCCAGACCCACCTATTCATGTACTCACTTTGGACATCCATAGGTTTCTCAAATTTACCATGCCCAAAACTGAACTGTTCACTCCCCTCTCACCCACGAGTGTGTCCTTCATCCCTACTTCAGTGAATTATACCATTTATCTAGTTGCGCAAGCAGAGCACCTAGGAATAATTCCTGACTCTTCCCTTTGCTGTTTCATCCATCTGACTACCAGTAAAACTTTGTATGGAGTCCAACCACTTTGAATCATCCTTGCTTCTACTTTGGCTGAGGTCTTCATCATGTCTCACCTAGAATGATTCAGTGACCTCTCCGAGATCCACGACACTCAACTTGTCTCCTTATTTATCTTTTACATTATTGCCTTGAATGATTTTAAAAAATATGTCTCTTCCCTGTTATTAAAACCCTTCTTTGAGTCCCCATCATCTTCTTGATAGTCTAAATTTTTTAGCATGGCATATGGATCTTTATGTTCTCTGGTCTTTTATAACCTCTCCACTTCCTGTCTCACTTTGAACTCTAAGTGGTAGCCATTCTCAGCAAGTTGAAAGTTGAGGGCCCCCAAAGTACCCCGTTGCCTTTGTGTGTAGGCCTTCCTGCAGATACTGCTTTCTTCTTCCCATTTCTCAAGTAGGAGTCCTTCAGTGCAGTGTTTTCTACTCTATTCCACTTACTCTGTCTGTGCTTGGATTTTAATGCTCTTCCTCTGCGTTCCTATAGCATTCTGTGCTCACCTACATATACATTCTTAAAGTAATTCTTAAAGTAATTCTCTATTTTTCTGCCTCACTGGAATAAGAGCTTCTTAGAGCTTAGAGAGATCGTGTCCCTCTTTGTATCCCTACACTGGGCACAGAATCCGAAAATATAAATGTCTGCTAATGAATGGATGAATCAATAAAAGGTTAAATAAATGTTCTCTCTCCCTTGTCTTCTTATGACTTAACTTGGAATCTGTTTCCTCTCAGTACAGATGATCTTATTTTATTTTATTTCAGTGTTCTGGCAATGGGTTTATGACCCAGACAGTCAACTCTGGCCAAGGCTTTTGCGGTACCATGGGATCAGGAGTGAAAAATGGAGGGCAGGAGACCATTGAGATGGTGAAAGGCGGACACCAGACCCTGGAATCATGCCAGGGGACCATGCACCATCACACCCTGGATTCCTGCAGGGGAGGACCCATGGAAGTGGACAACTGCAGATACACCTGCTCCGAGTGGCATAATTTCACTCAGCCCCGTCTTGGTGAAGTGAGTTTCCATGAGTGTTTTGCCTCTGCAATTTAAATGTCCAAGTGTAGAACAATAGGAAATTGAAATTAATGTAGAGTTTCAGAAGCTGCTTTTCCATATTTTTCAATGTACCCTTTCTCTTTCACTCTCTAGTCATTCCCTGCACTCCCCCCAGCCCCCACCCCATGCCCTCTGATCTTGTTACATTATTTAACATAAGAGAGATTTTATTCCATCTGTCATATTTCTTTTAGTTTCTAAAATCTCGTGAGAATTGGAGGTTTTTAATGACCCTGTTAAAGTTACATGCCATTTTTAGATGTTGTTTACCTCATGAGCTATTTTAATAGAGAAGAATGTGGAAAAAAAATCTCATTCCCTTCAATCGCAAAACTGCCCCAGTCAAATCTGCATTTTTCTGAAACAAAGCATCTATACACAATTCTAGGGTGAACATTCAATAATATGAGCTATAAGAACTCTATTTAATGTAAGAAGCACCGTTCAAATACAAAGTGTTTTTATTCAGGGGAAAGCAAGGATATCAAAGAAAAGAGGGATTAAATCATGGATTTTCAGTCCTGGCGGCACATTAGAATGCCCTGGGGAGCTTTTAAATGATAGTAATCCCTGTGCTCCACCTTGAAGGATTTGGGCATAATTGGTTTGGTTTATTATTCTTATTACTACTTTTAAAGCTCCTCAGGGGATTCACATGTGCCACCTGGGTAGAGAGGCACTGGATTAAATATTCTACCTGGTACTAAGTTTTCTGTTTATCAGAGTATACGGTACTGTTGTAACCCCCACAGTGGACCAGAAGCCCTTCATCCTTTAATGGACTGCAAATAGGCACCATTCTGTGACACGGCTGTAGCTGATCACGTGTCCATAGCATATATTTTTTTTTTCCATCAGATTCAAGTGTTCATCTTTGTTCTGTTTTTAGACAGTGTGCATGTAAGATCAGGTTGGGAAGGCGTGGAGCTTAAGAGGCGTTCTTAGGGGTGTTCATTAACGTGTGCATCAGGGAATGGGATCTGAGGCTGACATGGTCATGAAGAAAGGCATTTGGTAACATAAGCCAAAGAAATAAGCTGTGGGTTAGAGAGGGAGGTGAGGTGAGGTGAGGAGGGAGGAGGCACAGGAGTTTGACAGGTCGGCAGCCAGGCTGGTAACAGCGAGGCTGGGTGTGGCTGAATGCTTGGCCGCTCCATTCCAAAGGTCCAGTTTCTGCAGTGTGGGTGATGTTGATTATTTTTAATCTCACTAAAATGCTTTGTGCATTTCTCTACTTTGTCACGTTTGAGCTATCTTGGGCACTTGCTTCTGAAGTCAGTGTGGTAATTCTTGCCTACTTTATAACTGCATGTAATAGTAGTTTTAGTTCACGTTTATTGAATATTTACTATGTGCTGGGCAAAATAAGAGAATTTTTGGTGCGTTATTTTTTCATCATTATCGTGAGATAGTCACTGTATATATTCCCATTTTAGACATAAGGAGAGTTGGAAGTGAGACTTAAAGATGTTTAGTAACCTGCCCAAAGTCATATACGTAGTTGGTAAAGCAAGAGCTTTGACTCAAAATCAGGACTCTTTGAATATCCAATATCAAATTCTTCACCGCCATGCATATTGTCACCATTTTGTGGACTAGCCTGACCTCTAGATATAAAATTAAGCTTTTAAAAATGATAATTTAAATGTACTTAAATATAACATTTGTGAGCATATATATATATATATATATAATTTTTTATTTGTATGGATTACTAGAAATGTAAGATATACTGACTTTGTGGTACGGTTATGATATCGACCAATCATGTGCATTTTTTGTATGTAGGACTCCATTAGAGGACACACTGGTTAAAAATTAAACATAAAAGGTAAATAAAAAATAAATTTTATGTTCATATGTTTAAGAGTGTTTAAAACAATAATAGAATCTTTTTTTTTTTTTATTTTACAGAAATTGCATCTGTGTAACCAGAATGAAGACCATGTGCCATCTCAAGATTATGTCCTTACATACAACTATGAAGGAAGAGGATCTCCAGCTGGTTCTGTAGGTTGCTGCAGTGAAAAACAGGAAGAAGATGGCCTTGACTTTTTAAATAATCTGGGAGCCAAATTTACTACATTAGCAGAGACATGCACAAAGAGATAATGTTAAAGTACTACAGTTAGACATGTATTTGCCAGACATTCTGGAAGTTTCCAAAAGGAAAGGGATATTGTAAAGTTCAATTTCAATTTCTAATACATATATGGATATATATTAGAATTTCAATTTCTAATATATTTAAAGATAGATATATAGATATATTTTTAATATATCTATACATTAGAAAAATATACAATTTTTCTAAATTTTGGGAATTGTACTATTCACCAATTTGTATTTTTATAGCAATTTGTTGTTTATGTTTTCCAAGGAGTTGGAAATGTTAAAATGTGTTTTGTCTTCTTTACTGCCAGGTAAATAGACAGCTAGAAAATCTCATGCTATATCATTGGAATTAAGGTCTGTAAAGGACCTGCTATTCTTTATAGATATTTTACCAGTAAATGTGTTGACTTAATATTAGTCCAGTGATAGCTAAGCTGTATTTGATTGAATATAGAATAGCTATCTGGGCTAGAAATTCTGTTCTTGTTCCAGATTCAGATTTAAGTGGATTAGGATTATATCAAACATTGTGTTAAATTATATTGCATTTTTTAGCTCTTTAAAAAATCAGTACCACTGAGTTAGTAGCTCCAAAGACTACTAGAATTTCATTTTCCTTCTGGTTAGCATTTAGATCATGAAGAGCAGTTCTGTCTACTTGATTGCCCTAATAAGGTTTTAAAAAATACATAGCTATGGTCTTAAACTACACGAGGAAAGTGTAGACCAAAAAATTGTGTTGTTTTTATGCTTTTGAATGTGTGCTTTATGGTTTGCAAAAGGATTATTATGAGGACTAAGTTTCCTTATTCTCAAGAAACGGAACTATATTCACTAAACAGAGAGTTATTGTTGGTATTTTAATGAAAAATACCAAAGATCTATTGAGATTGTAATCACAAGTCCTGACATCTTTTTCCCTGAGATTCAGGACTACTATTGCTAACTTGCAGTAATGAAAATTATGCTGAGAAGAAGTTGCTTTTCTTCTTTTTAATATTGTACTTGCATATTTTTATTTGCAGGCTTAGCACATAAGGCTTTTTATTTTCTCTCGATAGTAATTATTTGCAATTAGAGTATGTTATCGTTAGATGGATTGTGTCGTGCCACATATCCTGAAGAAACCAGACCCTGTCCTAGTTATGGGTAGCAATGAGGGATGAGTGCGCATTTCCATTCACTACCATTTTCATACAAATTACTCCTTATTAAGGCAGATAAATATTTTAATATGCTGTAAAGAATCAAAAGAACCCCTGGGTGCAATTTAATATCTTCCAAAACGTTGCTTAAAATTTAGTGCTTCTCACATTTGTTCATGTGATAGAGCCCCTGGAAGGACTTGCAAAATACCCCAAAGCAATGGTGTTTAAACTTAAAATAATTAACACCTAATCTTATGATAAATCTAATATCACATTATTGTATACTCACTTCAAGTGTTAGTTTAAAAAATAGACAAGAAATTTTAGGTATCACCAGTTGAAGAAAATTTTGGAAGAGGAGACGAAATTAACTTACAAATGTCTGCCAGCATCTGTGCTTTATCTCCATTTATCTTGTGCATCCCTTAGCAAGACGTGTCCTAAGGTACCAGAAAAGCCGAGGAGAGGTTAATTTTGGGGTCTGGAAACACTCAGAAATTTTCCATATAAATGAATGGTAATTGCTTCTTTGCTTTATGCCATTTCGACTTACGGAAGTTTTCATAGGAATGCTATAAGGATAAACACACACACACACACAACACACACATATATATATAAATATATGCTTATATACAACTATTAGCCAATGCCATGTTTAAAATAAAATGAAAATCAAAGGGGAAGATGATAATATAAGGCTGGGGCTGTCCTACAATAGGAATCCAGGGTTTTTAAAAAGAGAGAGCCTCTTATACTTAGGTCTTCTGTGCTGCAGAGCTGAGCATATCAGGAAATAGTTCATGTACATTTGTGTAATTTCTTTAAAATTGTATGCAGCTAATTAAACGTCTCTGGTTTCAGGGGAAAGGAGAGCGGAAACTAGGTGGAACAATAGCTTTGCTTTGCAGTTTCACTCTGCACGCCCAAATGAGGAGCAAAGTGGCAAAGGCTGTTACAGCTAGGGCTGCTTGACTCCCAGTGGTGAGGTTCCAGGGATGAAATGCTTTTCTTGGAGCTAATACTGAAAGCTTTTTTAAACTCAATTCTGGTAAAAGGATTCTATCACCGTTTTCTTTTTCTCTCCTATCTACCGACATTTTTAAAGTTTAGAGCCAATCTAAAACTAATGATGTAATGTATGGGGATTAACATAAGAATAAAAAAAATAAAAAATAAAAAAAATATTCACAAACAATGAATCATGGAACACTTCATCTAAAACTAATGATGTAATGTATGGGGATTAACATAAGAATAAAAAAAATAAAGTTTAGAGCCAAATAACCATATTCTGTTGGTCAGATTTCAGGGGCTAAAGGGAGCTGGGGTGGGAGCACAAATCTTACTGAAGGGACTGAGTGCTGCATGACTGTCTTAAGGCTCATCGCCATTTGCTGTGTTCTAATTTAAGCCTGGAAATGATAAAATACCACTTCCCTACTCACTGCCCTGGTTTCAACCGGCATTGGTGTGATTCAAAGAAATCCAGCCCTCCCATCGGTCCCCTTTCTTTAATCTCTCTCCCAATATTGTCAGTAACACTTAGGTGGCAAATGCTCCAGGCTGTCAATCACCTTTTAGTATGAATTAATTTTTATGCGATTGCATTCTTACAAGAATTTTTCAAGTAACAGAAGAAATAGGGATTTTGAATACAGGGAAGAAAAAGACCGAGTAGTCATTTGGAAACACGGGACTTAGGGAGAGTGCAGGCCCAAGTACGGTATTTGGACAGACAGCAACATGAAAATCCAGGCCTTCAAGGGCAAGGAGAGAAGCCAACAAAGGAACAGGAATGGTAGTAAAGACAATATTGTTTGCTACTTAAATTTTCCTAGGCCAGGCCCTCCTTTTCCTTCTTTTCTCGGGCCAATGGCAGCTCCCATTTGATTTTTGTGAAATATCACCAACCCTTTCTCCATGCCTCACCTTATTTGGAGAGTGGAATCAAGGGAAGAGCTGACTGCATCATGCGTCTGCAGGCACTTGCAGGATGGGCCCGAACTGGCTGTGCAGAACAAACAAGGCATTCATGGGGAATACTTTGTTCCTTATGTAGCCGTCTGGGCACTGAGATAGAAGGTCTTCAGTTAAGTGTGTGTCTACATTGTTTACTTGATTCCACATTTCCCGTTTTCTAATTTTCCCCTGAAATCTAGATTTTCAGACTTAGAGTTTTCAAAGGGTTCTTTTCCTTTTAAAGACTTCTTACGTTTAATGTAAACATTTATAACGTGGTATTCTTCTTTCCTTATATGTGTAAGGGGAAAATTATGCTATTTCAGTGTGAAAATAGCTTTCATTTTTTTTCTAGTGAATATTCTTGAATTTTTAATGTAAATGTAGAGATTGTTTTTTCATATTTTTATAAGGAAGCAGTGAACTGTCTAAAATGCAGTGAAGTTTGGTTTGCAGCATTTGTAACAGAACTTTAAATCTCCTATTAAAAGAAGTTACTTCACTTTTAAAGAAACATGGCAGGTTAAAATAAGCAAAAATTGTTTGTGTAAAGTATTAGTTGCAGATGTAGGATGTAATAAAACTCTTAACTCGATATCTTGTCTTTGCTATATTTAGGGATTAAATGATTCCAAGATGGTCATGTTGTAAAATTGTGCTTAAGACTGGCATGGAAATAGATCCTCAAAAATGTCTTCATTGTATTCCTGGGGAATATTTTAGAGAATGGATCATTACCAGATTGTCAACATCATTTATATATTAAATTATTTGGGGGGAGATCACTATTTGGGGCACAGCTTTACAAATGGTGTCTATGTATATCTCCATCTGATTGTTATTGGGTAAAGAAGTATTGGAAGGTACTTGTAATTGTAGAGTGTTCCAGAAATAAAATGCTGACATAGCATTCTTACCTGGAGCAGTGTAGTCAAGGGGAAACATTATGAGTTAAAAAAAAAAAAAGAGCAAGAGATAGTCCAATCTTTGTTCTGTCACTTACAGAATATATGACCTTCAAGCTTTGTTCACAACCAAATTATGGTGCTGTGTATTTCACAGCGAATCTTTTCCCTGGGGGGTGTTGGTGTGTGTGTGCTTTCCCACAAAGGTAAGGCTGACCATTTCAAAAATGTACTCATTGGGGGCGCCTGGGTGGCTCAGATGGTTAAGCGTCTGCCTTCGGCTCAGGTCATGATCTCAGGATCCTGGGATCGAGTCCCGCATTGGGCTCCCTGCTCCTTGGGAGCCTGCTCCTCCCTCTGCCTCTCTCTCTCTCTCATGAATAAATAAATAAAATCTTTAAAAAAAATAAAATAAAAAAATAAAAAAAAAACTTAAAAAATGTACTCATTGTCTCAAAAGCTTTCAATTGTAGTGGAACTTGAACAATAATTTCAATTTCAGGAACTTTTATTGTGATTATTATGTTTATGTCTAAATATTTGTCTTTAAAAATGTTCATTGAATTTTTTTTTTTTTTTAAGATTTTATTTATTTATTTGACAGAAAGAGACAGCGAGAGAGGGAACACAAGCAGGGGGAGTGGGAGAGGGAGAAGCAGGCTTCCCGCCGAGCAGGGAGCCCGATGTGGGACTCGATCCCAGGAACCTGGGATCATGACTTGAGCCGAAGGCAGACGCTTAACGACTGAGCCACCCAGGTGCCCCTGTTCATTGAATTTTTGTTTCTGATGTCAAAACATTCGGTAAATTCTAGGCATCCGGCAGAACTGACTTGGTAAAATATTGGCTCGTAGCGGTTGAGAAGGTACATGTCTAGTGTAGAGTCAGACTGTTTGCAGGTAAATCCTGGCACTTACACTCTGTGTGGCTTTAGAAAGGTTACTTACTCCCTCTCTTAGCCTGAGTTTTCTTGTCTTTCAAAGCAAAATAACAATACCAACCTCAAGGGGTTG